TTGTCAAGATGGTAATATTCATAAGATTCAATATCTCGAAAATGAGCTCGGGACACCCCATTTTTCCTTCCTCTTTTTTAATCAGCGTTAAATTATCTTTCTAAGGAAGTTTTCTCGTTGTTTGTGTAAAAGCACTCGTTTTTGTAAAACAATCGCTCATTCGTGTTTTTACACAAACCACTCGTGAATATAACCCCGTACGCCGCACTTTCTATGAAGTAATCTATATATATTCTCACAAAGGCCAGTGGTTGTCTGCATAATAATACAATTATTCCACTGACTCTCGTTGTACTTGAATGTATTTGTCATGCACATTAGTTCTTCTCTTATGTATTTCCAAACATGTTTGACAGGTAAATCAAATAAAAGTCAGCGCAGGGAACGAGATGTTCCTGAAGACAGCAGTAAACCAATGGATGTAAAAGGTAGAATATATTTCTCACAAAATATCTTTTTTGCTTTCTTTGTTGATTGGTTAATGGTTAAAGTTCAAGCGTTAGATCTGCCCCTGAGTAATGTCCACTATTTTGTACCAAATAGCAGCAACATAGCTGCAAGTAGACGATACATCTTTGATTTTGTCTCTGGCTTGCATTCTACACAGTCGAACCTCGGTTGCTTAAAAGAAAAACTAAACTAATCTCAGAGTGCAAACACTATTCCCTCCCCCCTCTCCTGGATGAGCTGATATCTACTGCATCATTGGTGTTTGAGTTGGAAAGCAAAGGGTACACCCCCTCCTAAAACAAAAATCGTGCAAGGTGTTTCCCCCTAGAAAAAATCCTGGATCCACCCTGTTACATTGGTAACAAATATGTATTTGTTTATTTCATGCCTGAGTGAATTCTTAGCTATTTTACGACTAAATACTTGATAACTACGCTACATAGGTAGTAATTGTTTCACAGATATATGGCGTGCGCTCTATGATCCAGTTTGTACATAAGTTGTAATGGTTTGAACTATTGCTCTTTCAATAATTATTCTCTTATGTATTTCCAAATATGTATGCTCTCTCAGTATGCTATGAACGAGATGTTCGTGAAGACAGCAGCGGTAAACCAATTGATGTGGCACAGATACAAACACGAGTAGGACGACCTGTTACAGAACTAGAAAAGTCGGAAGACGGAATGAAACGTAAGTCTAATTTTCCTTCCATCTATCTGATCTGTTCCATTTTTTATTACAACTAAACTAATTACATTACGAAGCTTAAGTAGTTTAATATAGAACAAAAGTAAATAATGGGAATCAAATCTTATAAAAGTTATTATACGTTAAGCCCTTCATAATAACGACAAGAGGTTGGATATTAGTT